CTTTTGTGGGGTTTTCCTGGTGAAAAACCTTGCAAAACAAAACAAACAAGAAAATCGAAGACGAAGTGTATGATCCGCGTTTAGCGTCACATGCTTATAAGAAAGGTCTATTCCGTTGCCCGCGTTCGGGCACTACTTTGAAACAAGATAAATAATTAGGATAAATTAAATCCGCTTTTTATAAAGCGGATTTGGACTTTTTCCTAATTATTTGTCTTGTTTCAAAGTAGTGCTCGAAACCGAGCAACGGAATTCATTTTCTAAGCGACTTTTCGTGGCACAGAATAAGGCCTAACATTGATTTTTCGAAGAATTCTCTTGCTTTTGGCCGCATAATAACTTATTGACATTACATTACTACATCCTTACATCTTTTGGGCATTCAGTATTCTCGTTCTCCCTTTGTATATGGAGCTTACCTTCGGGTCGGTCCATATCCAAAGGGAAGAAACTGGACTAACTTCCTACAGGCCGACCTGTCGATCCGTCAGTAGAGTTTGAGCAAGACAACGAAGTACGAAGACGAAGGCATACTTGACAATTTTTGCCGTCTGTACGTTATCTTGCGCATACTGAGTTGGACGTCACTGGTGGTTGCACAACGTGTCTTCCCATTTGTCGCTGTTTATGAATACTGACCATAATTCTTGCCCTGATCCAGAAAAAAACAGCGAGACATGAAACTATATTCCGTCTTTGTCCTTCTGCCTTCGTGCAGAACGAAGTTCACAACGAATTTTGCCAAAATATTCGTTGTGAACGAAGGCAGAAGACGAAGACGGGATATGGATTCATGTCTCGCTGTTTTATCCTGATCAGGGTAATGATTTGGGTCAGCATTCACAAACAGCTAGACATGAATCTCTAATCTGTCTTCACTCCTGACCCTAAACTCAGAATGCACAAAGTAATGTGCAAGACAGACAAAAATTGTCAACCACGTCGTCGTCGTTCGACTTCGTTGTCTTGCTCAAACTCTCTAATAACATATATGTAATGGGCAGTTCGCACGAACTTTTACCTACAAAAAAGTGTATTTAACATTAAAAACGTTACTCGTGGTGTGCAGTGCTGGTTTAAATAATTTAGATTATTCTGCTGACACCGCAGAGAACAACAAACGAACAATTCGTTGCCTCGAGTGAGTTTCGAACTTGCACCGTTGACTCAATAGATAGAGCGGCGCGCGTAGACAACGAATTTTATTTTCGATGTTTTCCGCAATGTCAGAATGATATGAATCTAGTTTTTCATACCTGTGATGATGGTTCTGAAATTACAATGTTGTGTTGATCATATTTTGACGAAGTTCATGTCCAAAAAGACATTAGGGCATTGCTCATATGTTTTAGATATGTTGTGAGGATATAATTCATCGTTCAGAAGAAGAGGAAGTCACAGATGCACCAGCCATTGGAGAAGGTAAGGTATACTGGTGAAAAGCTAATGACTGATTTACATGTACAGATGATATACTTTTGTATTGTATGCCCAAACCATTGGCTTTAACATGGTTTGTGTCATTGCTTTTTGATATATTTGATTTTGTTGTTTACTACCTACATTTATCTCGTGTAATGACTACTGTATAGCAGATCAGTCCCCTCTTTTTTGCTTGTATTAAAAACTTTCAATTGATCAAACAATAAACCCATCATAATGTCGTGCCGGGAATTTCCATCCACGTGGACCAAATTTTTGTCCGCGTTTAATTTCCTCCCTTCACTTACTTATGGGAAAGATACTCAAAATAACGAAACTATTAACAAGGTGAATATAAAGTTGTGAATACGAATTTTATCCAGAATGATTTAAAATACTTTTTTACAGAATGTGTTGAAGAGTGTTGTCTTCATTTGATTGCTGAGAGCTTGGGAAAACATTGGAAAGATCTTGGCAGAAAGTTGCACCTCAAAGATGCAGAAATTCAAAACATTTCTGCAGACTCGTCTCAACAAAAAGAACATGGATACCAAGTACTCTTGAAGTGGAAAAAACGTCGTGGCACAACAGCCCTTGTAGGAGAGTTGACCGATGCCCTGAAACACCTGCAATTGAGTGACATCTCTGATGAACTAAATAAACATTTTAAAGAATCACATATCACAATGCACCCGGACAAAGTCTGATAAGCGATGTTTTTACCTACGATAACTGCCTTAAGGCGGATTTCCAGTCCTCGCACGAAGCTCCTCGCTGCGAGCATAGAATAAGAAATGAATAGAAGGGCAACTCGAGTCGGAACCCTTGAAGTTTTTGAAGCCGCGCATGTCGCCTCGCGCATGCCGTAAATTGCCCGCTCTAATTACTCGCAGCCAGTAAAGCCAGTCAATTTGTTAGAGATTTGTATTGCAGAAGATCGTGACTAAAACACCACACGAATACATACGAGTAACATACGAGTAACACACGAGTACATACGAGTAACACACGAGTACATACGAGTAACACATGAGTACATACGAGTAACATACGAGTACATACGAGTAACATACGAGTACATACGAGTAACACACGAGTACATACAAGTAAAACACAAGTACATACGAGTACATACGAGTAGAATACGAGTACATACGAGTAAAATACGAGTAGTAAACTTGTTTTTAGTGTTTGTAGATTGAATACAGGAAAAAAGATCGTCTTCTCTTTCGAAAAACGTGGAATGGGGGAACGGGCAATGGAGGAACGGGGAATGCGGGAACGAGGAACGGGGGGACAGGGGAATCGGGGAATTATGAATTATTGTTAATACGTAATATTAATCATATGTACGGGGGGAAAAAGAACAGAAAAAAGAAATAGAAATTCGACAGGATAAACGGGAATCGGGGAATTACGAAACTATAAAACGGACTGGTGTCTTGGGAATTAGAAAACCGCTCAATGAATTAAAACTAGTAAAGAAATTTAGCGAAGCTTTCCTTTATTAGTACAGCGTATCATAAAAAGGTCAATCCACATTGCTTATGTAATATTAATAATAATATTGCTTATGTCATTACTAATATACTTGCTATATAATAAAACAAACTTAAGGACTAGATGCAAGTCCAAGGCAGTCCTTATGCTCCATATGATATCTTAAAGTGATTATCCTATTTTAAATATTTTACAAAGCAAAACTAACAAAACACAAAATACTTCAAAAAACGCAGATTTTAAGCTAGCAATTTAAGTTGGCAAGTACGTTCCTAAAGGACCCAGCCGAACTCTCCTGCAAGCCTTTGGACGTGCTCCACCTTGAAAAGGGAAGGAAAGTCTGGAGGAACGAGAACGTCGCCAAGAAAGCTTGGATACTTTGCTCTGATGCAGGCTGATCGGAAATGAAAATGCACGTTCTGAGGCTCACTTGAAAACTGGATTTGTCCTGCAGGGCCTTTTTTAACATATAAGCTGGGGGGGTGGGGGCATTTGACCCCCCCAGTCCCTCCTTGTGCCCCCCCCCACGAAATCACATTTTGCCCCCCCCCCAGAAAAAGTCCCTTTTTCCTAAATTTATACAAACAAACCAGCGAAGAATAACAAATTGATAAACGGAACGTAAGTTTTAGGCTTTATCCTTTGTCCTTGTTTAACAAAATCGATTTAAAGGACTGTGTCACCGCGTGCGCATCCTACGTGTTTCTAACACTAAGTTTATGATAAATTATTGTTAATATTTTTAAAATTTTTTGTGCGTTTTTTCCTTCTTTTATTTCAAATAGAAGTATAGTTAGGATAAATTGTAGAGCAAATTTAGATGCTCAGACGGCAGGAACTAATGGCATTTTTGGGCTTCAAATTTCAAAAATTTTCTGCGGAAGTATGCCCCCAGACCCCCTATTCATTCACGGTATGTCGGCCACACACATGACCCACGGCCATTACTATCCCCCTTTAATAATAAGTAATGGATAAATTATTGTTAATATTTCTTTTATTTTTTCTGCATTTTTTTCCTTTTATTTCAAATACAAGTATAATTAGCATAAATTTTAGAGCAAATTTAGATGCTCATAAAGCAGGAAATGGCATTTGAAAGGTTCAAATTTAAAACATTTTCCGGGGGAGTATGTCGGCCACACACGTGGCCGTCGGCCTTTGCTATCCCCCTCTAATATATTATCTCACAGAAAGGTCCCTTTTCAAAAAATGCCCCCCCCCCCACGGGAAAATCCTTAAAAAAGGCCCTGTTGTCCTGTATTTCGGTCTCGGAACTGTCGTATGTCGTCACGGTATAAGTTAACTGTGTAGTTCGTATATTTGCCTAGCCACATGTTGTGATTGAGGCTATGTGAGGATTGTAAGTTTATCACCTAGTACTATTTAAGTATAGATGAAGTTAGGTTATGTGCATGCTCACAGGGTTTTGAAAGCAAACCATGCCGTGAAATATGTGAAGCCTATGGTTTGTGTCATGTATCTAACTATCTAGGTAGAATACCTAAAAGTAGATGTTGTACAAACTACAAAGTTGTGGTTTATAGAATCGAGCAGACCTCCCCCGTCCCCCATTCCT